ACACACACACACACACACACACACACACACACATGACATCAAGAGAATATCAGAAAAGAAAACGTCACTGAGTGATGAATAACTTCATCATAAAACTGCCCCCAATCGTCTGAATCATTAGCGTATCGGTGTGTAAGACACTCACAGGACTCTTCACTCTTGCTGGGCGTCTTCAGGCTGAAGCTGCTGCTTCTGCTGCTCAGGGTCAGCTTGAAGGCTCGTCCGTCTCCAGGACTGAAGTGAGGTAAAACCACGGGAGACGCTCGACTGCGGCCCGGGACCATCTCCAGTAAATCCACACAGCCCAGCAGACGCACCTGCAGAGTGCCTGAGAGGGGACAAAAGCACTAGACGCTTATATTACATTCGTTTTACGCAGCGGATGCCCTTCCAGTCCCAACCCAGTACTGGGAAACACCCATACACACACACTCATACACTACTGTAAATTTAGTTAATTTAATTCCTCTATAGCGCATGTGTTTGGACTGTTGGGGAAACCGGCGCACCCAGAGGAAACCCACAGGGAGAACATCAGAACTCCACACAGAAATGACTCGAACCTGCAACTTTCTTGCTATGAGGCCAACCACTAAGCCACAATGTCACCTATATCTTTATTGTGTGAACTTTAACACTGTGAGCAATTTGTCGAACCATCTGTACAGTTATCAACCTTGGTGCCATCGTCAACACTGTTTGTTGGTGTTTGTTGGCGTACCGGTGAGCGGGGAGGGTCTGCTGAGGGTGCTGTACTGATTGTGGACATAGGGGGCGCTGTGACTGGAGCTGAAGGCGGAGGAGGACGCCCGCACCAGCTCCTCTTTAATCAGACACGCTTTGGGATGATCCTCGGGCAGATTCACCAAACGCTGCTCTAAGGACACCCGCAGGAGATCCAGCCTCTGGGACGCTTCACTCAGACGACTCTGAGCCTGCAGAAACACACACACACACACACACACACACACACACACAAGCTCAACATTCCTCCTCAAACACACTACTGAGACCAGTTCACTCACAATCAGGACATTTATAGGTGTGTATTACTGTTTATGGACCTTTCATCAATAGAGTGATGTGATTGAAAATGTGCATGATGGGACTTAATGCATTAATGGAGTTCGCAGCTGGTGTATGTAAAACTTCTGAAATGTTGTTTTGCCGATTTCTGAAACTCCTCAGCTGTCAGTCTGTCATCACAGTGCTTCAGTATTATTATTATTTCCTCCAGAACTGCCTTGAGCGTCTGTCGGCACACCCAAAGAGCAACTCCCGCCTTCAAAAGCACTGCATTTAGCGCGTTTATTGCATTTCGTCTTCGTCTTCTGAGGCGCAACTCATTTCTTAAAGAAGAATAAACACCACAGTGGCAAATCCAAACACACTAAACTCCATTTCTCTGACTGATATCTGCTCCAGTTTAACAGGAAGTGATGATTTAGTTCTCTTTAGTTTCTCATTGTATGGAAACGCTGCTTTATTTTTTGGCCAGCGGAGAAATTAAAATGGTCGTGCCCAACTGAGTCTGGTTCTCTCCAAGGTTTTTTTTCTTCACTCCCATCAGGTGAAGTTTTTTTTCCCTCTCCGCTGTCGCCACTGGCTCGCATGGTTCAGGATTGGTAGAGCTACGCATCGATGAATTTGCTCTTCAGTGTTTGAACTCTCAGTAATGATTAAATCACACTGAACTGAGCTAAACTGAACTGAACTGAACTTAAACACTAAAACCTGAACCACACTGTTCCAGTGACTATGACCATTTATGTGAAGCTGCTTTGACACAATCTATATTGTAAAAGCGCTATACAAATAAAGCTGAATTGAATTTATTCGCAAGCGTTTTATGGCATATTCCAGTTTTGCGTGTCTAATACACATCTTTGGACATGAATTATCAATGAAGGACTGTATTTTTATTAAATGGCTGGTCCACTACCATATGATATTTCACACTTCAGTTGATGTGTAATGTTTCTGTGTTAACATTAACAACATCTCAATGTAAGACGCTCAAAGATCAATGTAAAGGGAGACTTTGGCACAGAGTTAGCTTAGCAAAGCCTACAGCGAATGAAGATTAGGGACTACAAAATAAAATTAATCCGGGCTAGTGAGATCACAGGGGCTTCTAGTTCACGCATTCACCGTGCACATGTACACCCTGTGCATGGAAGGTGGTCAGAGGGGCTGTAATGTTACAGCAGACCCTGCTGAAAAATTCTGCTTAAACCAGCCTAGGCTGGTTTAAGCTGTTTTTTTTCAGTAGGGTAGGTTGAACAAGGACAAATAAATAGTGTAATAATTGTATTGTGTAATGTTTGTTCATGTTAGTAAATAAATTAACCATGTGTAAATGTAACATGAAGCATGACCATATTTTCCATGACCATATTTTCCATGACCATATTTTCCGAGACATTTTTGATGCTCAGTGTGAGTGTGTGTGTGTTTCTCACACCTCAGCGATGGCTTTCTTGTCCTGCGCTTTTCCAGTTCCCAGAAGCCTCAGCATGTTTTTGGCGCCTTCAGCCATGGCGTGTTCAACACGGTAATGATGCCAGAGCTCCTCGATACGCAGCTCCACACCACACAGATCCGGCTTACCTGCAGAGAGATACACACACACACAGGCGTCACATCCTCATGGGGGATGCTTTTAAAAGAAACACACTATTCAGATCACAAGTCTCATGGTTCAGATCACAATCCAGTTTTTGAATCCCAGATCGGACCATTGTTCGTCATTGATTAATTTTCCTTCAGCTTAGTCCCTTTATTCATCAGAGGTCGCCACAGTGGAATGGACTACCAACTATTCCAGCATATGATTTACACAGCGGATGCTCTTTAAGCTGCAACCCAGTACAGGGAAACAACCAAACACACTCATATACTTTGACCAATTTAGTTAATCAATTCCCCTATAGCAAATATGTTTGGACTGTGGGGAAAGCAGGAGCACCCGAAGAAAACCCACTCTCAGTGGCAGATTTAGGCATGGGCAATGTGGTCGACCGCCAAGCTTGTGCCGCTGCTTCCTACGCCAACATGGGGAGAACATGCAAACTCCACACATAAATGTCAACTGACTCAGCTGGGACTCGAACCAGCAACGTTCGTGGTAACCACTGATTATAACCACTTATTATACATCATGTTTGATTACTAGATGCATCATTTTTGAACTATTCAATGACTTATTTTTTGATGGATGTTTGTCACCACTATAGACTGTAAAATATATGGACGTAGTATCCGTGACGTCACCCATAGGTTTCTAAAGAGCGCAAAAGAAGCCACAAGTAGGCGCGGCCAACCGTCGCAAAGAGAGCAAAGAGGCGGAGAGTGGGCGGAGCTACAGACACCTGCTGACAGTTTGCTTGGACCTGGTTCAGACACACTTTACTTTGGGAGAACGCTTAATACTTTATCACCTGTGACTCGTTTGTATTCTGACCACTTGTGCTTTGTTGTGCACTATATCAATAAAGTGTTTAGACTTTTAAAAACACTGCTGTAATACATTGAGCCACTAAACATTGTTCTTATGATGTTTTTCAACAGGAGGAAAACGCAAATTACATCCAAACACTTCAGATATAGTCTGTGTTAGTAAATGTAAGACTATTGATGAACTCCAGCATAACACTGTATGACAACGCTTTAGATGACTGTTCTAGAGCCTACAGCTAATCAATCCGTCAGATTCTGCAATGCATTACAGCTCTAAATATAAATATAAACGATAAATGATCTTAAATAAAACAAATACATGTATAGAGATGGTATATAAGTATATAACTTTACTCACATGGGAAACGGAGGCCACGTGAATGGTTTGTGAGCACAATTAAGTGCACTCAGCATGCCATGCCATCTAATAATTGTAGTAAACAAGTCCAAAAGGCAGTCGACTGTGTAAAGCCGCATAAAACAACACAAAAATACGATAAATATGCCGAGTTCAGTGGCTAATCTGCAGGATTCAGCTGAGGTGACGTGACGGCGACCAACGAGACCTAACTGTCACTCAAGCGGCCACGCCCTTAATTATGCAAACTTAATATAACTTAATATAAAGGAAACTGATGAGTTATAAATAAAATTCACCCCCTCACGGTTGTCATGAAGGGTAATATTAGCTGTATTAACCAAAATCTTTTTTTGTACCAGGCTGTAAACACCTTTTTTCTGCTGTAAAGTTGTTCATTCTAACAGTGGGCTCAATTAAAATTTGCTCTGTTTTGGAGCCAGGAGCGGCCAGGACTAGCGGAATTTCAGATGAATTGCAGTTTTAGTTACTTCCGTATTGGCTTCCTGAGGTAGAGGGGGAGGTTGCCGCTTGGTCACCACCTATTGTATATACACTTACCGGCCACTTTATTAGGTACACCTGCCCAACTGCTCGTTAACGCAAATTTCCAATCAGCCAATCACATGGCAGCAACTCAATGCCTTTAGGATTGTAGACATGGTCAAGACGATCTGCTGCAGTTCAAAGCGAGCATCAGAATGGGGAAGAAAGGGGATTTAAGTGACTTTGAATTTGGTTGTTGGTGCCAGACGTGCTGCTCTGAGTATTACAGAAACTGCTGATCTACTGGGATTTTCACACAGAACCACCTCTAGGGTTTACAGAGAATGGTCTGAATAAGAGGAAATATCTAGCAAGTGGCAGATCTGTGGACGCAAATGCAGTGGCGTAGCGGACGGGCCCGCGTGATTAGGGGGCCCTGCGTCATCGCGATTTTCAATCATTGGAAATCTGGCAACCGCAATAATCAAACCCCTGGGAACAACTGTGGTCGGAACCAAAGTTCACAGGTCTGTGTTCTCTGAACTCCTCTCAAGCGGTGGACTTCTTTATTCTGTTTGCTTGCCGCCGAACCGCGTCATAGCTCAATTACCAGGGCCAGACGGAATCTGCGGACGTTTTTTGCTATTTCTGTGGAGAATTTAGGTAAAAATCTGCGGATTTCTGCAGAATTATTTTGGGAGTATCCAGCGGAGTATCATAGCTAAAACCTTAATATATTAAATAAGAAGTAATAAATTACTGAATAAAAAATGAATAAATTCAGATTTACACATTTACTCAAGTAAATAAACAAAATTAATGATGGGCTAAAAATCTGCGGAATTCTGCGCGCGCAGATTCCGTGTGGGCCTACTCATTACCATAAAGTTGACTTGGTTTCAACTCTCCTCGACGCCCACACTGGAGAAGACGCGCCGCGCTGTTCCTCGNCGCTTATCGCCACCGGTTCTCATTAAAAATGAATGACTTCCGGCTACTTGACGCTCTCGCCGCTTTCGGTTTGTGATGGCTTCCCCGCGTTGTCGCTCCACCCCGCCCCCATTTCTCGCTCCTCAGTTTGTGATCGCTCTTCAGTTTGTGAAGTCTTCCCCGCGTTGTCGTTCCACCCCGCCCCCCTTCCCCACTCCTCAATTTGTGATCGCTTCCCCACGTTGTCGCCCCCCAGAGCATCTCTGAACACACGAAACGTCCAACCTTGAGGCGGATGGGCTACAGCAGCAGAAGACCACACCGGGTGCCACTCCTGTCAGCTAAGAACAGGAAACTGAGGCTACAATTCACACAGACTCACCAAAACTGGACAATAGAAGATTGGAGAAACGTTGCCTGCTCTGACGAGTCTCGATATGGTCGAATCAGAATTTGGCATCAACAACATGAAAGCATGGATCCATCCTGCCTTGTATCAGTGGTTCAGGCTGCTGGTGGTGGTGTAATGGTGTGGGGGATATTTTCTTGGCACACTTTGGGCTCATTAGTACCAATTGAGCATCGTGTCAACGCCACAGCCTACCTGAGTATTGTTGCTGACCATGTCCATCCCTTTATGACCACAGTGTACTCATCTTCTGATAACTACTTTCAGCAGGATAACACATCATCTCAGACTGGTTTCTTGAACATGAAAATGAGGTCACTGTAGTCAAATGGCCTCCACAGTCACCAGAGTTCAATCCAATAGAGCACATTTGGGATGTGGTGGAGCGGGAGATTGGCATCATGGATGTGCAGCCAACAAATCTGCATAAACTGTGTGATGCTATCATGTCAATATGGAGCAAAATCTCTGAGGAATATTTCCAATAGCTTGTTGAATCTCTGCCATGAAGGATTAAGGCAGTTCTAAAGGCAAAATCGAGTCCAACCTGGTACTAGTAAAGTGTACCTACACTGCAAAAAATGCTTTTCTCGCTTACATTTTTTGTCTTGTTTCTAGTCTAAATATCTAAAATTTCTTATATCAAGTAGCATTTTCTAGATAAGCAAAACATATTGTCTTGTTTTGAGAAATAATATGCCAATATTGAGTGAGTTTTTCCTTAAAACAAGCAAAATAATCTGCCAATGGGGTAAGCAAATTAATCTTGCTTTTTCTTTTGATGTAAGATTATTTTGCTTACCCCATTGGCAGATTATTTTGCTTGTTTTAAGGAAAAACTCACTCGATATTGGCATATTATTTCTCAAAACAAGACAATGTGTTTTGCTTGTCTAGAAAATGCTTCTTGATTTAGGAATTTTTAGATATTTAGACTAGAAACAAGACAAAAAATCTAAGCAAGAAAAGCATTTTTGCAGTGTCATAAAGTGGCTTCTGAGTGTATAATGTAATTGCTACAACATTCAACAGCATCAAGTTGCATTAAACTGACTTTTTTCTTTGCCACAAACCTCAGTGTTTATATCTGAACTGTGTTTTTTGATTGACTGTAACTCACTGAAAAGTGTTAAAACTGCATCTCTTTCTCCATCAGATGCAGATTTGAATGCAGAGCATCAAAGGTTTAATAAAAATCTGCAAATCATCATTATTTATAATTGATGTCGTGTGGGAGTTTGAATTGAGATCCCGATCTTTGAATGATGAATTGTGCAGCTTTACATTAATGCAGGCTAAACAAGTGACAGAAAACACCTTTAATGACCTAAGAAAGCATTTCAGTGCCTCCACCAATACTTCCGTCATCATTATATTTTACAGCAAAGCCAAAACGCCTTCATGCATGACATTTGAATGACACAGGAGGTCGATCTCTCTGCGATCATTAGGAATGATGGACTAATCCAATGGATCATGAATAAACCATGATCTGTTACACCCCTACCAGTTACTGAGGGACAATCTGTATAGAGATGATGTGTATTTGTTGATTGTATTCGGGTTCATTTTGCACCTTTACCCTCTCAATATGAAGACACAAAGAGCTTAGCAGACAGGAAATAACGCTGAGGTTAGACTAGTGTCGTCACTGGTTGCTAAATATAAAAAATAAATATGTAGTGTGCGATTAAACGAGGGTTGACAATAATCTGTCATACTGGCTACCCCAAAATAAAATTCAGCACTCAGCTCATCTGCGTTAAAGAGATAGTTCAGCTAAATCTACTGCTCTCCTACAGGTGCTTTTAAACCTTTATGAGTTCCTTTCATCAGCTAAACACAAGAGAAGATATTTTGAAGCATGCTGAAAACTTTCATAGTAGGAAAAACAAATACTATGGAGCTCAATGGCATCTTAAATCCAATTAAACTCTCTTGTCAAGATCTCTTGCACATACTATTTCACGAACCACTTCAAAACCATATTCTGGAGCCGGATTATTGTCAAAATGACATGAAGCAATCAGCGAGAACACTGAGAAGAGTGTTTGCAGCACTGTCAGACGTCTTTCCGATGGCGGAGGCTGGAGCGGCATTAATAAAGCTATTCTTAACCCGCCGTCCGGCCTCAGGACACATGAGCCATCAGCCCCAAACACGCCATTAGAGTGCATTAGAGTCCGCTTCAGATCCGTCCATTTCCTCCAGCAGCTCTCAGCTCAAACATTGCTCTCTGACTGACTTCAGATCACGACCACATACGGCTTTCTCAAAGGGATGGTTCACCTTAATATTTTAATTCAACTCACCCTCAGGACACCCAAAAAAAGAGGGGACTTTTTTGTCTTCAGTAGAAGATTAAATCATTTTTTTAGCTGAATTTTTGGTCATTGCTGATTCATATAAAGCAGGTTAATGGTCACCAGTTTTTGAGATTAAAGGGTCATGAAACCCCCTCTATCAGTTCAAATGTTTCAAATAAAAAAGCTGAGAAATCACATGTAGATCAGTATTCACAGCCTTTGGCGTGAAGCTTTACATTAGAGGTCTGCATTCCCGACCAGATTTCTACAGTGCGGGTATAAATTTCCGAATAAATCACGGGAGCGGTCGGTAACGGGTTTAATTTGGGACGGGAGCGGGCTGTCTAGCAATATCGCTCCCGACTCCCGAGTGAGCACGCGTATGTATGTGTGTAAATGAAATAGCGCGATGCTGTGTTTAGCTTGTTTGTTGCAGTGTGTGTGTGTGTGTGTGTATGTATGTATGCGCACGCGCGAATGAGAGATATGTGTATGTGTGTGTGTGTGTGTGTGTGTGTGTGTGCGTGTGCGCGTGCGCGCGAATGAGAGATAGAGAGCTTTGCCTCATTGCCTGTGTTTGTGCTTGCTGCTTATGAGTGTGTGTTAGAGGGCGCGCGCGCGAATGAGAGAGAAAGCTTTGTGTGTGTGTGCGTGTGTATGTTTATACAGACAGCTTGTTATAGGCTGTCTGGACTGTATAACTGGGTGATTTTTCGGTTTTGTTCTCCCCCCGCTCTTTAGCGGGATCGGGCGCGGCGGATAGAAAGGGACATCAAGTGCTTAATATAAGCGGGAGCGGTCGGGTTCCGGCTAAAACCTGGCGGGTGCGGGCGGGAGCGGGATTCAAAATTTAGTCCCGCGCAGATCTCTACTCTACATTGAGCTCAGGTACATTCTGTTTCCACTGATCATTCTTGAGATGTTTCAGCAGCTTCATTGGAGTTCACCTGTGGTCAATTCAGCTGATTGGACATGATCTGAAAAGGCAAACACCTGTCTATATAAGGTCCCAGGGTTGACAGTGCATGTCAAAGCACAAACCAAGCATGAAGACAAAGGAATTGTCTGCAGACCTTCGAGACAGGATTATCTCAAGGCACAAGGCTGGGGAGGGTTACAGAGAAATTTCTGCTGCTCTGAAAGTTCTGAAAGTTCCTCCATCATCCGTAAGTGGAAGATGTTTAACCACCAGGACTCCTAGAGCTGGCTGGCTATCTAAGCTGAGTGGTCAGGGGAGAAGGGCCTTAGTCAGGGAGGTGATCAATAAACCGATGGTCACTCTGTCTGAGCTCCAGTGTTCTTCTGTGGAGAGAGGAGAACCTTGCAGAAGGACAACCATCTGTGCAGCAATCCACCAATCAGGCCTGTATGGTAGAGTGGCCAAAGGGAAGACATTGTCTGCCTGGAGTTTGCCAAAAGGCATCTAAAGAACTCCCAGACCATCAGAAACTAAACTCTCTGCTCTGCTGAGACTAAAACTGAACTCTTTGGAATGAATGCCAGGCGTTACGTTTGGAGAAAACCAGGCAGTGCTCATCAGGCTAATACCATCCCTACAGTGAAGCATGGTGGTGGCAACAGTAACTGGAAGACTAGTCAGGATAGAGGGAAAGATGAATGCAGCAATGCTTCAGAGTGCTCTTGACCTCAGACTGGGGCGACGGTTCATCTTCCAGCAGGACAATGACCCAAAGCACACCGCCAAAATATTAATAGAGCAGCTTCACAACAACTCGGTGAATGTCCTTGAGTGGCCCAGCCAGAGTCCAGACCTAAATCCTATTGAACATCTCTGGAGAGATCTGAAAAAGGCTGTACACCGTCACTCCCCATCCAACCTGATAGAGCTTGAGAGGTGCTGCAAAGAGGAATGGGCGAAAATTCCCAAAGACAGGTATGCCAAGCTTGCGGCATCTTTTTCAGAATTGCTGCCAAAGGTGCATCAACAAAGTATTGAGCAAAGACTGTGAATACTGATGTACGTGTGATTTCACAGCTTTTTATTTTTAATAAATTTGCTACAATTTTAAAAACTCTTTTTTCACATTGTCATTATGGGTGATTGCCTTCCGTTTATATGGACATGCACAATTTTCGCATAGCATATCAACATTTAATATATATCGAAATTGAATGCCTTGTAACAAAAAATTGGGGGTGCTAAACAGTAAAATTTAAAACATCGTCCTCTGGCTTTTTTTTTTTTTTGGTTTGACAAACTATGTTAAATACTGGTCGACCAATCAGATGTGGCGCTTCATGTTCATGTGTGTTCATGTTGTCAGTTACCGAAGTTACAGTAAAACACCACTTGATGGCACTCAAACACAATGGTTTAGTAGAGCACACAGGAATTACAGATCAAAATAGATATGACTGACTTTCATTTTATTTAATTACATTTTTTTTGCAAAACGTTTGGAGTGAATGCATTCAAACATCGTCGAAAGCTTGATTCTTATTGTGGGGAGACTTTTTTAATTGGTGTTTTGCAAATGAGAAGATATCGCTCAACCCTACTGCACTGTATTTAAGCCCATGAAGAATCTCTGTGGTGATGTCAAGTTGATAAACGCTCATTTTTGGTATTAAGAGAGCTAGACAGTGTATGTTTGTGTCTAGGGATGTAACGGTATTGTAAATACCGTCATACCGCAATATTAATTTTTTTCGATATTACCGTAGTCGCATGACTCGGTAAAACTATAGGTCTTCTGAGAAAATTTGCTCAGGCGAATGAAGCGAACGGGAGGTAGCGAAAACTACAATTCCCATCAGCCCAGGCTTGACCATCATCCCTTGCGGTTTGTTGTCGCTACAGATCCAGTAATGCGGAAATGGAGTGTGCTGCTAGAAGCGGGGATGAAAAAGAGCTGGAAAACCCTAAAGCGGGTGTTGTCGCCGCGCGCGTTCTGAATAACGGTGTTGTCGCGCGAGTTCTTATCAGCTGTGTTGTCGCGCGCGTACTGAATAGCGGTGTTGTCGCGCGAGTTCTTATCAGCGGTGTTGTCAGCACACTGTTCAGATTGATGCAGACATGAGATCTCTATCTCACTCATGGTTTGTCCTCTCAAGTGGGGGAAAGACAATGCACAACGTTACCCACTGCTGTCAACCTGGGCCAAGTCATATCTCTCTTGTCCCAGAAACCTCAGTCCCAAATGAGAGGGTTTTTTTCTGTTGCAGGGGACATTGTAAATGCCCAGAGATACCAGCTTTTACCAGATTATATTTATATGATAATTTTCCTTTAAACCCATCTCTATCTGAGTGAGTGAGTGATTAAATGTTGAATGTGATGAGTTTTCAACAATACTAAATTGAAACTTAATTTTTTTTACATGGTTTAATATTTTTTTGTTATTAAAATTGAAGTTCCTGTTTCAAAGCTTACAGATAGATGGCTAATTTGTATGTCATTGACACTTTTGGCACTTTTTTGGAGTATTTTCATAAGTTTTGTTTTTTCCTGTAAATGATTCAATAAATACCGTACCGTGACATTCATACCGAGGCATTACCGTACCGTGAAATTCTGATACCGTTACATCCCTATTTGTGTCTGATACAGTACCCTGAGTGTCGTCGCTCTGTTCGGTGGCCTGCATGGCTTTACGGATCTGCATTCGGATGATGTCGATCTTCGTTTTACTGTCCTGCAGCATCTGCTGAGCCGACTGAAGCAGCTTCTTATCCTGGAGGACAGAGACAGATGAGGATACGTGGAGACATCTGATGCTCAAATTAACAGACAAACAGACAGACAGATAGACAAATAGAAATATAGATGGATAGACAGACAGAAAGATAGATAAACAGACAGAGAGACAGACAGACAGACAGATAAGACGGACAGACAAACTGACAGATAGATAGATAGACAGACAGCCAAAAAAGGCATACAGACAGACAGATAGATGGATAGACAGATAGATATACAGGCAAACAAACAAACAGATGGATAGACAGATAGATAGAGAGACAAACAGACAGATAGACAGACTGACACACAGCCAAATAAGACAGAGAGACAAACAGATAGATGGATAGACAGACAGGTAGACAGACAGATAAGATTGATGGATAGACAAATAGATGGAAAGGCAGACAAAAAGACAGCTAGACAGACAGGCAGATAAATGGACAGACAGACAGAAAGATGGATAAACAGACAAACAGACAGAGATAGATGGACAGACAGACAGACATATAAACGGACAGACAGAGAGATAGATGGATAGACAGATAGCTAAACAGCACAGACAGACAAACAAACAGGTAGATTGATAGACAGACAAACAAACAGACAGAAAGACAAACGGACGGACAGACAGACAGACAGAAAGCCAAAAAAGACAGACAGACAGATAGATGGATAGACAGATAGATATACAGACAAACAAAAAGACAGATGGACAGATAGACGGATAGACACACAGCCATATAAGACAGACAGACAAAAAGCAAGACAGACAGGCAGGCAGACGGATGGACGGACGGACAGACAGCAAGACAGGCAGATAGACAGACGGACAGACAGAGAGAAGAAACAGACAGAGATAGATGGACAGACAGACAGATAGAAGGATTTACAGACAGCCAAATAGCACAGACAAACAAACAGATAGATTGATAGATAGACAGATAGATGGATAGACAGATAGACAGACAGATAGACGGATAGACACAGCCAAATAAGACAGACAAGCAGACAGACAAATAAGATTGATGGATAGACAGACAAAAAGACAGCTATACACACAGACAGACAGACAGACAGACAGACAGACAGATCAGACAGACAGACAGACAAATAGACAGACAGAAAAGAAAGAGAGACAAACTGACAGACAGATGGACAGACAGAAAGACAAACAGACGGACAAACAAGACATGTAGATGGAAAGACAGACAGTCAGGCAAAAAGACAGATAGACAAACAGACAGATAGACAGACAGATAGCCATTAGTAACCTTGGTAACCCCATTGGCGTAGATGGGGATCATGTTCTCTGCCCCCTGCTTGACCTTCAGTTCGATGTTGAGCTGTCGCTCCAGAGCCTTAATCCTGTCCTGATTGGCTGAGGAGCGTCCTGGTGTCCCAACAGACTGAATGTCATCTGGGGGTCAAAGACAGGGTCAAACATTGATCTAGAAGTCACGGTCTAACAAGATTATAATACAGACATCTGACAAATCATCCCTGTAGATTCAGATTTACATATATAATGATGAATTCTACACTAAACTCACACATCTGAAACATCTGCAGTGACCCGTTACAATACTGGACACATAAAGCTGACTTTGCTTCACAGTTGTGTTTCTGTAAATATTAAAAGTGTCTATATGTCTTTCTCATTGAAGCTACAGTGGTGGATGTCTATAGCCTTTGCTGTCTTCAGTAGTTTGTTGCAGACTCAGAAATAATTGAATAGTTGACACTGGTTCATTGAATTACTAGAAAATAATGCACAGCTCAGGTGTAACGGCCACTCTGCCTCATGATCACAGCACCACCTTGATTGTTGCAGCCCAGAGACCACCAAGTGGGAGGGAATGTGAAGAGGGTTGGAGAGTCGTGGAAGAAAGTGAAAGTGAACAGCGGACTGGGAAGAGGAAGGTTGAGAAGGGGGATCGGTAAAATGAGGTGCTGGATAAGATTTTAAAGGTGCCGGATTCGGCGTGTTCTGGCACAAATTAAACCCTGGTGTAGGTGTAGTAGACACTAATAAAACACAACGGGTTACCGTGAGGCAGGGTCTAGGGTTGGGGTAGGTGTAGACAATAATAAAAACACAACAGGTTACTGTGAGGTAGGATCTAGGGTTGGGGTAGGTGTAGACCAGGGGTGCTCAACGCAGTTCCTGGAGATCCACCTTCCAGCAGAGTTTAGCTCCAACCCTGATCAAACGCAACTAAACCAACTAAATAGCATCTGAAGGAGCACTTGGTAATTAAAGACAGGTGTGTTTGATAGCCGGCAACTAGCTCTCTGCAACTCACATGGTCGCCCACTGAAGCCAAGCAGGGTTGCGCCCGGTGAGTACCTGAATGGGAGACCACATGAGGAAGCTAGGTTGCTGCCGGAAGTTGTGTTAGTGATGCCAGCAGGAGCCGCCCAACCTGCGGTCTGTGTGGGTCCTAATGCCGCAGTATAGTGACGGGGACTCCCAGTATAGTCACCATCTCTCGGATGAGATGTTAAACCGAGATCCCGACTCTCTGTGGTCATTAAAAATCCCAGAATGTCCCTAATGGCCTTCTAACCCTGCTGAAAAATCCAGCTTAAACCAGCCTAGGCTGGTTGGCTGGTTTTAGCTGGTTGACCAGCCTGGTTTTAGAGGGGTTTTGGCCATTTCCAGGCTGGTTTCCAGCCATTTCCAGCCTGGTCTTAGCTGGTCAGGCTGGAAAATGACCAGCTAAATCCAGCTTAAACCAGCTTGACCAGCCTAGCCAAGCTGGGAGTCCAGCCAAAACCAGCTATATCCAGCTTAAACCAGGCTGGTCAAGCTGGTTTTAGCTGGTCATTTTCCAGCCTGACCAGCTAAGACCAGGCTGTAAATGGCTAGAAACCAGCCTGGAAGTGGCCAAAAACCCTCTAAAACCAGCCTGGTCAACCAGCTAAAACCAGCCAACCAGCCTAGGCTGGTTTAAGCTGGATTTTTCAGCAGTGAACCTTTTCCATAACATAATTCGCTTCGTCTCCACTAATCAGCCGGTGTGTGGTGTGCGGTCTGGTGCAAAATGGCTGCCATCGCGTCATCCAGGTGGATGCTGCACACTGGAGGTGGATGAGGAGATTCCCCTCCATTGTGTAAACACTTTGAGTGCCCAGAAAAAGCGCTATATAAATGTAAGGAATTATTAATATTATTATTATTATTATTATTATCAAGGTTGCAGGTGAGCTCTGCAGGAAGGTAGATCTCCAGGAACAGGGTTGAGCACCCCTGGTGTAGACATTGATTAAAACACAACAGGTTACCGTGAAGTTTGGTTTAAGATTAGGGAATGTGTAGTAAAACACAATAGGTTGGACTTATGTACTAGACATTAAATCAATCAAGCTTTCAGGAGGTTTGCACAGCCCACCTGGAGCTGAGCAGTCCATTTGGAGCTGGCTCTGACCCCTATTTATGCCCTTCTCAATAATTCAGTTATAAGCTGTCAATTATTCCTTACTTAAATTTTATGCAGGTGCTGCAATTAACCTAAAACTGATTTTAAAAGTTCTTGTCTGCTAGAGTTTTTTTAGGGGGTGAGTGGTCATTAGGATTTTGAATGTTAACTCCTTCCACAGTTTTGACGATTTTTACATAATTTTTACATAAATTCGAACAAAGCAAAAAAACTTTATTCTTTCTTTATGTGTTCATGTTTTGGCACTACTTAAATGTTAATTGTTTTCCATAAATATGCAAAATGTTTGACTAAAAATTAAAAATCTATTGCTCTTTAACTTCGCTCTTCAATTTCATATAACCCAACTACGCATAACTTGACATGGTTTCTGTCAACCCGACTCTACACCATAACTTTTCAATCCAGATGGATGGGGCAACCATTACTGCATCCAAAATGGTGAAAAGCCTTGGAGTAACGATTGATGACCAACTAAACTTCTCTGACCACATTTCTAGAACTGCTTGATCGTGCAGATTCACACTCGACAACATCAGAAAGATCCGACCCTTCCTATCTGAACATGCAGCTCAACTCCTTGTTCAAGCTCTTGTTCTCTCCAGACTGGATTATCGCAACTCTGTACTAGCCGGGCTTCCAGCTAACTCTATCAAACCTCTTCAGCTGCTAAAGAATGCAGCAGCACGAGTGGTCTTTAATGAACCTAAAAGAGCACATGTCACTCCGCTGCTCATCCGTTTGCACTGGCTGCCAGTTGCTGCTCGCATCAAATTCAAAGCTCTGATGTTTGCTTACCAAGCGACCTCTGCCTTTGCTCCTTCTTATCTGCTCTCATTTCTGCAGATGTATGTGCCCTCCAGAAACTTGCGTTCTGTGAATGAACGTCGCCTCGTGGTTCCATCCCAAAGAGGGAAGAAATCACTTTCCCGAACTCTCGCGTTCAATCTGCTTATTTGGTGGAATGATCTCCCTAACTGCATCAGAACAGCAGAGTCACTCGCTATTTTCAAGAAACGGCTAAAAACTCAACTATTTAGTCTCCACTTCCCTTCCTAATCTGCAATTGCCTCTCTGGCTCCACCGCTAACTGTACTCAAAAAAAAAAAAAAAAAAATCTTACATTACTAATGCTTTCCTTCTTAGACTTTCTTTACACACCTGAAACTTGCCTACAGCACTTATTCATTGTTGCTCTTATAGTTGTGTAAATAACTTCCTTGTCCTCATTTGTAAGTTGCTTTGGATAAAAGCGTCTGCTAAATGACTAAATGTAAATGTCCCCCAACCCCCCATTCACAAGTACACATACAATACCCCAATAGCAAAGAATTCTGGCCCAGATTTGGCATAAAACTGGCACAGCAGGCATTCATCCGGCACGTGGGCCAAACACCGTCTTACAGGCGGCACTCAAGACTTGGGCCAGATATCAAATGTAGTATTTGGCCCAGATGTTAAAATTTATGTGGGCCACGTAAGTTTAACCAACTTTTAAAATACATTTAAATTATTTTTGAGTAAAGAAAAAATTCTGCCAATCAGGTCGCTTCAAGAAAAAGCACAGCCATAAAGCGAAATGCTTCATGGGTTTATAAAAAACGTTGCAGTAGTGACACACCAACATATCTGGCCCATTTCAGGCCCAGTTATGGGTTAATACCTTGGCTGAGACTTGGCCCAGATATGGTCCCCGTTTGCCTCTTGGATGGAAGCCAGAATTGGTCCAGTCATGTACCGTAATTCACTGCGGCATGTTGGCCAAGCAAATGCTGATGGTGTGGGCCAGATCTGGGCCAGAGAAATTTTGCTAAGGGGGTATGTAACTTTGTTAGATGTATAGAGCAGATCAATTGAGTAAGTCCTGATAAAGGAGGAAATCAGCCAAAGCTTGTAAAACTCTACCTTCTGATCTACACTTGCACTAATTGGCTTATATTTCGCTCCCATGAGGACTTGCGTTAAGGGTTTCCCCTACTTTAATACACCTAAAGCACAGATTGCTGTAAAAACTCATCAATAGAAGGCAAAGGGTTAACCCTTGTGTGCTGTTGGGGATGTTGTTATAGTGTCATGGCTTTGCAATGAAAAAAAAGTCATTATAAATTAAGGTCAATGGGGCAAAAACAGCCCCTAACATTACCAAAGGGTAAACACTACACAAGGGTTAAAAAGAGGTCTCCTGGGAAAAAAGTTCCCTTAAAATAAAAGTAAAAAGTACAGTATGCTTCGTGCTTTAAAATAATCCTGACCTTTGCTGTCGTCGTGACCCTTGACCATGATATATGCGTCCAGCTCCTGCAGCTGAGCGTGGAGCGAGTCCAGCTTTCGGCTGGAGCTGCGCAACTGGCTCTCCACCTGCTGGGCATTGCGTTTGTCAGTAGTGGCCCGCCGCAGTTTCTCCGCGCCCTCTTTAATCTTCAGTTCTTTACGAATCTCCCTGCGGATCCACTCGCGCTTCTCGTCCAGCCGATGCTGCACGCTGGAGTCGGAGAAATCAGAGTTCTGGTCCAGTCCCATCTGCTCCAGCACAGACAAACCTGAATCTGAATCCTGCAGAAAACAACAGGTCCTGGGTTAGTGTGGGTACACCGTGATTAGAGACTGACAGAAATACAGATATTAGGGATGCACCGATATTTTTGACCAATAACCGATAACGCTTTAAAATCAGAGGCTGATAGCCAATACATAAGATGCACATCATCTTAAAGCAGAATAAATTACCATTGATGTATGATTTGTTAGGACAGGACAATATTTGGATTTGGCATGTGTGTTAAACAAACTAAAAAACCACACACTGCTATATTTAGTGCATAATTCACACACTGGATTAAATGATAATGCAATAAAACCATAGGCAGAAGTAATTCTGTATTTCTGTCATTGGTTTTATTGCATTATCAATCTATGTAACCGATTTCTCTGACCGATACCGATAACTAAGGGTGTCACGATCCTCCAAATCCTTGATTCGATTACATTTTCGATTCTAAAGTCACGGTTCGCACAAGCTATGCCATTTTAAGACTTTTATGCAATATAATAATAATATCTGACCTTTGTGCGCTGTGAGTCATGAAGCACTGTGTTGCTCTGTAGGTCCAGCAATCTCAAGTCAAGGCGACTAAATGTGCACTGCTAAGACCTTCAATAACTTTCTCCTCCACATTATTGTACATGGAGGGTATCACCATAGCTGTGAGATCCGTTCTACTTGGGATTTCGTAGGGTGGTTCTAGCACGCTAATTGAATGCCTAAAACCGGAGTTTTCTACCACTGAATAAGGTCGTTTGTCCGTGGCTATAAGTACTCCTACCACATTTGTAATTGCCTTTGCACATGTTGAGTTACTTGGAATTTTATTCCAAATTAAGACGGGAGAGTAGTTTTTGTTACACTTGTCGGGTTAACAGATATTTTTGTGGTGCCTGCGAAGATGCCCTGCCATGTTAGTCGTTCTGCCGGTAGAATAATGTGGTATACGTACATAGCAGAGCTTGCAAACTGTGTTATTTATTTTTTGTCGACAATACAAACATTGTCAACATTACTCACTGGAAATCCAAAATACTTCCACACCGGCAACTTCAGTGAAAGAGTTCTGTCAAGGGGTCTCCTGCATCTGCAGTTGCCATGCTATCTTTTGGCTGTTTGTTGTAGCAGTTAGGTTGACTCACAGCACAAGCATGTTTTTTTTTTTTTTCGCTTGGCAAGCCAAGCTGACGTGACATGGGGGCGTGGCAGCATCGATGATTCCATTTTTGATTCGATAATCGAGATTGAGCATGAATTTCGAACGATTTCGGTTTAAAATCGAAATCTTGACACCCTTACCAAATACCGATATTTTTTTATTATGAGGCTGACAGCCAATATTTTAGTCCAAAAATATAAATTATTCTTATTTTTCAACATGATTGCATGAACAAAAGGCAAACACATACAAGCAAAAGGCAACACACATTTACACAATCTTAAAGCAGAATAAATGATCTTTACATTGTTGTAAGTTTTGTTAGGATAGGACAATATTTAGATTTGTTTTAATGCATTATCATTCTATGTAACCGATATTTTTGACCGATAACGATAACCGATATCTCTTTATTACGAGAGGCTGACAGCCAATATTTTTGTCCAAAAATATAAAATATTCTCTTTTTTTCTACATGATTACATAAACAAAAGGCAAACGCATACAATGAACAACTGATTTTACATTAAAACTTGCACTTCAGAAAAGTCTCTGAACTTTATTAATGAACTGTTCTTTCCTATGGCCAACTTTCTTTTACATCAATAAAATCTACTGCCTGACAACAACAAAATGCTTAAATAAAGCAAACAAGCCATGAACTAGGGTTGGCAAAAGTATCGAGTTTGATACCAATTGATAATACAGTTATTTTTTACTGATACTGATAATCGATAACTCTTTATAATTAGAAGCTGTTGCCTGATATATTAGCTTAAAACAAAAGGCAAACACATACAAGCAAAAGGCAACACAAATTTACACAATCTTAAAGCAGAATAAATGATCTTTACATTGTTGTAAGTTTTGTTAGGATAGGACAATATTTGGATTTGTTTTAATGCATTATCATTCTATGTAACCGATATTTTTGACCGATAACGATAACCGATATCTCTTTATTACGAGAGGCTGACAGCCAATATTTTTGTCCAAAAATATAAAATATTCTCTTTTTTTCTACATGATTACATAAACAAAAGGCAAACGCATACAATGAACAACTGATTTTACATTAAAACTTGCACTTCAGAAAAGTCTCTGAATTTTATTAATGAACTGTTCTTTCCTATGGCCAACTTTCTTTTACATCAATTAAATCTACTGCCTGACAACAACAAAATGCTTAAATAAAGCAACCAAGCCATAAACTAGGGTTGGCAAAAGTATCTAGTTTGATACCAATTGATAATACAGTTATTTTTGACTGATACTGATAACCGATAACTCTTTATAATTAGAAGCTGTTGCCCGATATATTAGCTTAAAACAAAAGGCAAACACATACAAGCAAAAGGCAACACAAATTTACACAATCTTAAAGCAGAATAAATGATCTTTACATTGTTGTAAGTTTTGTTAGGATAGGACAATGTTTGGATTTGTTTTAATGCATTATCATTCTATGTAACCGATATTTTTGACCGATAACGATAACCGATATCTCTTTATTACGAGAGGCTGACAGCCAATATTTTTGTCCAAAAATATAAAATATTCTCTTTTTTTCTACATGATTACATAAACAAAAGGCAAACGCATACAATGAACAACTGATTTTACATTAAAACTTGCACTTCAGAAAAGTCTCTGAATTTTATTAATGAACTGTTCTTTCCTATGGCCAACTTTCTTTTACATCAATTAAATCTACTGCCTGACAACAACAAAATGCTTAAATAAAGCAACCAAGCCATAAACTAGGGTTGGCAAAAGTATCTAGTTTGATACCAATTGATAATACAGTTATTTTTGACTGATACTGATAACCGATAACTCTTTATAATTAGAAGCTGTTGCCTGATATATTAGCTTAAAACAAAAGGCAAACACATACAAGCAAAAGGCAACACAAATTTACACAATCTTAAAGCAGAATAAATGATCTTTACATTGTTGTAAGTTTTGTTAGGATAGGACAATATTTGGATTTGTTTTAATGCATTATCATTCTATGTAACCGATATTTTTGACCGATAACGATAACCGATATCTCTTTATTACGAGAGGCTGACAGCCAATATTTTTGTCCAAAAATATAAAATATTCTCTTTTTTTCTACATGATTACATAAACAAAAGGCAAACGCATACAATGAACAACTGATTTTACATTAACACTTGCACTTCAGAAAAGTCTCTGAACTTTATTAATGAACTGTTCTTTCCTATGGCCAACTTTCTTTTACATCAATAAAATCTACTGCCTGACAACAACAAAATGCTTAAATAAAGCAACCAAGCCATAAACTAGGGTTGGCAAAAGTATCGAGTTTGATACCAATTGATAATACAGTTATTTTTTACTGATACTGATAACCGATAACTCTTTATAATTAGAAGCTGTTGCCCGATATTTTAGCTTAAAACAAAAGGCAAACACAAACAAGCAAAAGGCAACACAAATTTACACAATCTTAAAGCAGAATAAATGAGCTTTACATTGTTGTAAGTTTTGTTAGGATAGGACAATGTTTGGATTTGTTTTAATGCATTATCATTCTATGTAACCGATATTTTTGACCGATAACGATAACCGATATCTCTTTATTACGAGAGGCTGACAGCCAATATTTTTGTCCAAAAATATAAAATATTCTCTTTTTTTCTACATGATTACATAAACAAAAGGCAAACACATACAATGAACAACTGATTTTACATTAAAACTTGCACTTCAGAAAAGTCTCAGAATTTTATTAATGAACTGTTCTTTCTTATGGCCAACTTTCTTTTACATCAATAAAACCTACTGCCTGACAACAACAAAATGCTTAAATAAGGCAACCAAGCCATGAACTATGGTTGGCAAAAGTATCGAGTTTGATACCAATTGATAATACAGTTATTTTTGACTGATACTGATAACCGATAACTCTTTATAATTAGAAGCTGTTGCCCGATATATTAGCTTAAAACAAAAGGCAAACACATACAAGCAAAAGGCAACACAAATTTACACAATCTTAATGCAGAATAAATTATCTTTACATTGTTGTAAGTTTTGTTAGGATAGGACAATGTTTGGATTTGTTTTAATGCATTATCATTCTATGTAACCGATATTTTTGACCGATAACGATAACCGATATCTCTTTATTACGAGAGGCTGACAGCCAATATTTTTTGTCCAAAAATATAAAATATTCTCTTTTTTTCTACATGATTACATAAACAAAAGGCAAACGCATACAATGAACAACTGATTTTACATTAACACTTGCACTTCAGAAAAGTCTCTGAACTTTATTAATGAACTGTTCTTTCCAATGGCCAACTTTCTTTTACATCAATAAAATCTACTGCCTGACAACAACAAAATGCTTAAATAAAGCAAACAAGCCATAAACTAGGGTTGGCAAAAGTATCGAGTTTGATACCAATTGATAATACAGTTATTTTTGACTGATACTGATAACCGATAACTCTTTATAATTAGAAGCTGTTGCCCGATATATTAGCTTAAAACAAAAGGCAAACACATACAAGCAAAAGGCAAAACACATTTACACAATCTTAAAGCAGAATAAATTATCTTTACATTGTTGTAAGTTTTGTTAGGATAGGACAATATTTGGATTTGTTTTAATGCATTATCATTCTATGTAACCAATATTTTTGACCGATAACGATAACCGATATCTCTTTATTACGAGAGGCTGACAGCCAATATTTTTTGTCCAAAAATATAAAATATTCTCTTTTTTTCTACATGATTACATAAACAAAAGGCAAACGCATACAATGAACAACTGATTTTACATTAAAACTTGCACTTCAGAAAAGTCTCTGA